TATTTTTAATGCCATTGCAATGAATGGGTGCTGAAGATTTCAGGATGAAAAAAGGATGCTAAAGCTCCATAAAAATGAATGCAAGAACAACATCTGGCTCATGAATCAATCATTTACACAAGTTTTGTGAACTAGATCGACTGATTCATTAATAATGAATACTTTTTTTGTTGTCATTTTAGAGTGTGATAGCCACAGTTAACATTTACTTTCATAATATTGATAAAAATCCCAGGATATTCTTTCAAAAAAAATTTTTTTGTTCCACTGAAAGAAAGTCATACAGATTTGACATGATGTGAGGGTGAGTAAATGATAAAATAATTTTCCTTTTTGAGCGAACTCTAAAGCCTAAAGACTGAGATGCATCAAAACATCAAGACCACGTACAAATAGTAGCTACAGTACAGTAAAGTCAAAACATATGCTACAAAGCAATAAAAAGAAAGCACAAATGCTTTAAGGTACTAAATCTGTCCTGTTCCAAAATGTGCCAGAATGCAGTTCATAACGTATTAGGGCCCTATAAAATCTGGTTTATTTTTTCCTTTTTAATTTGTCTAGACTCTGTTTTAATGGTTAAAGTAAATTGTTATGCATGTCAAATTAATTGAAATCATGAAACTTACACAATTTAACAGCAATTTATTAAACGTTTAACAAAAATTAAGGCCCCATGAAATACATTTTATTTTATTTTTTTCTCAAATTTAGTTTTATTATTACAAAATTCTGTGTTTTCCATTACTTTTCTGGATTCCATTTTAATGGTTTCATTAAATTTTAATCATCAAAAGCATCTCTAAATAATTGTTTTAAAAAAGAAAAAAAAAAAACGAAAATGCTGCGAACGTCACACGCGCTTCTGTATGCGTGTATGATTTTGTATGGTAAACAAACCACTCGCCTGCTCCATTCATTTACACAGAGACACGCAGAACATGCAGGATTCATATTTAAATAGTTTTTCTGCGGCTTAATATTCACAGACACTAGTCCATATCGCATTTTGATTTCACCTCTGCCTTTTACAGTAAATTTTATATTTATGACTGGATTATGCGATTCCAACCACATTTTCCGCATTTTCCGCATCGCAGAAATCACAGGGCCCTATATAAAGTATGTGCTGCATTCTCACAAGCTGTATGCAGACACACACAAAAAAAATTCTGAATTTCTTTGTAATTACTTGTAACAAATTATACAAGCAGGAAACTCATAATTACAGGGAACAGTATCTGACTGATAAAAGTATGAGTATCAATGCATATTTAATAGGGATGCTCCGATCGATCGGTCGGAGATCGGTATCGACCGATAATCACATTTTATGACTCGATCGGTACTCACTAACTTGGCCGATCTCACGAACCGATCACAATTTGATGACGTCAACGCGTGACGACATACATGATGCGTGGGGACATAAATGATTTGGCGCCACAGTCATGTCATAGCTGGTGTGGAAATGCTATGACGTTTCGAGAAACAATGAAAAATGTGCTATTTGTCGCGTATGTTTTGCATAATGATATGATAAATAGGCCTAGATGGTTCATTTTTAACAGCAGATTCAGTGACGTTAGAGCTGATCTGCGCCTCACTGCACGCGTCTGCGGCGCGTTACGGCTCCACGG